CGGGTGTAGCCCCCCCCCTTTGGGAAAAAAAAAAAAAAAAAAAAAAAAAAAAAAAAGAGAGAGAAAGAAGAAGAAAAAGAAACAAAAGAAAGTGAGAATACTAAATGCAAAACTCCACGAGGAAGTAATGCTAAATCCGGGTCGTGCCACCACACCCACTGCCACCGGACGCCCTCAGCCCCTCTGCTCCCAGTAGACCAACGTGGGGTTTCAGCACCGAGTGCACCCTCTGAGGGTCGGGGGCAGACTCCCTGTGGAGGCACCAGTTGGGGCCGCGCACCTGCCTGCTGGCACCTTCTTGGCAAGGCTGTGCCCACTGGGAACTCTGTCCTCGTCCTGGTCAGAAGCCATGTCCAGAATCGCATCCCTCTTCCTGGTTTTCCCCTTCGCTCTGCGGACTTCCCGTGAGGAGGCTGCTGGGGGCATGTGGAGACTGCCTTAGACGCTGAGTTGCGGCTGCGGAAGTCAGTCACTTCCCCTGAGGTCCCTCAGGCTTCATGCTGTGCCTTCTCCGTTGCTGTCCCGCCTGTGTGCACGTCACCTGCTTGCAGTGTGGGAACACTTTGCTCCCAGCATTCTGAGGCTCGGCGACGTCCCGGAGCAGGACTGTGGGCAGGAGCGGGGCTGGCTGTGCATACTGCCGGGTGGGCTCTCCGGTGACGTCTTAGCCAGCTCCCCGACGCTCCAGTGGGCGCTCTGACCCTCCTCAGGCTCCTACCGTCTTACTTCAGCAGTGGACCTTCACAGTAGTCCTCTAAATTTGAAAGAATACTTTTTTCTTTTTAAATTTTTTACTGCTGTCCTTTTTGTCCTACTTTCCTGGGAAGAGACAGAGACATCAGCATGCCAGTAGGGTCTCCACGCCACTATCCAGTGCCAGACTCAGTGAGCCCAGACCTGACCCTGGCACCTTGCAGCAGGGTCACTTCTCAGAGTGTCATGTTCTACCGCTGTGCCACTGCCCAACCCCGTCTTCCCCTCCTGTAAAGGAGGTTTTGCCCTTTTCATTTTGCTACCTTCTTTTAAATCTCCAAGAAATCTTTGTTTTCGGATATTTCTGCTGTTTTTAAAAAATGTGCCAGAGGGCACCTGCTCTCTGCTGGGGAGTGACAGAGAGGGAACATGAGAAAGCCCCCACCCTGCCGCTACAGGGACAGGCCCTCCTCTTCCCTCCTCGCAGGGTCAGCACCCCACATATGTCAACTGTGGTTTTCAAGCCCCTGGATCTGGGTCTGGACCTCAGGGGGCCATGTGGGATCCAGCCACCTTCACGGTCCCACCACCAGCTGGCCTGGTATTTTCTTCGTATAAATTCTTCTTCCACGGGTCGAGATGTCTCGTCAAACCTCCCTAAAGGCAATGCTGACCGTTCTGTCACATCCGTCTCCCCACAGTCTCTGCTCCCTCCAGCTTGGGTTTTAGGAACTCACAGCAGCTCTGTACTCACCATGCCGTTCTCCCGTGCTGCCCGCCAAGCCCGGCTGCCTGGGTGGGGCAGAGACTGCTTAGCGGGTCGAGTCCACACAGCGGCTCTCGCTGTGGCCTCCCGCGCCCGGTGAGCGGGTGTCGAGTGATGCACGGGTGCATGTCACTCAGGGTGTGTCTCCCCCAGGCCTGGTCTGCCCCCCCCCTCGCGGGGCCTCCCCACCTCCGCACCTGCGCTCCACAGTCCCGGCCTGGGAACGGTAGGTCTGAGCGGCCCGTCCCTAAGTCCCGCACTCCAGCTCCCGCTGGTGCCCCTTCAGATAACACACGTGGGCCCGCCAGGCACTGTGGTGGGGCAGTGGTCAGGCTGCAGTGCTTCCTGGACAGACGCCATGTCATTCTTCCCTCTGCACAGGTGGCTGGTGCCCCCACACAGGACCCTCTGGGGACTCCGCAGGGCTCCTTCCTTCCTGGCTACCCTCCCAGTGCCATGTTCCCGGGGCCTGCAGTTTCTCAGCTTCCTAAATCGCGTGGCAGGTACTTCCTCTCTGGCACTCGCGTCCTAGCTCATCCTGCATGTGTTGGAGACTCCAGAAGGAAACCACAGTGGACTTAGGCTACCTGTTCCCCCTTCACCCAGAACCCGCCCCGCCGCACCAGCTGATCCGGCTTGGTCCTGCTCCTGAAGGAGTTGCCCACCGGGACCAGCAGCTTCTCTGGGGACTCCCACACGGCAGGGCAGCAGGGCCCACCGCTGTGGTGAGACCTCTGGGAAAACCACCTCGGAATTCTGGAACATACTTCCAAGTGGGCTTGGGGCCAAGGCTGCCAGCCTGTGCCACCTCCAGTAACCACCAGATGCTGGACAGGGGTTACCAGCAGCCAGCCGAGGGGCAACGCTTTGCAAACAGCACACACAGAGCGTGGCCGACAGCCCTGGGAGGCCAGTCAGGGTTTTGCCAAGGCTGTGGCAGCACTGGAGGAGCAGGGACCCAGCAGGGACCCAGGAGCAGACTCTGCCCTGGAGGAGGGAGGGCAGGTGAACTGGTTCCTTCTGTAATGGTGGAGTGACTGGGACAGAGGAACGCTGTCACTATGCTGCCAGGACAGGAGCCGTGTGCCCATCCAAGTTGGCTGTCTGCAGGGCACGCACGCCAGAAAGGCTGCCCAAGGCCCCCTCGGTTCCCTCCAGGGCGTTTGTTTTCCATCTAGGCCCCAAGAGGCTTCGGTGAGAACACTGGGGCTGCAGAGCCTGCTCCCCATGTCAGGGGTGGGGATGGGGTTTGCTAAGCTCCTGGTAGGAAGCCCCCCACGCCCGTGGCAGTCAGGCCCAAGCGCAGCAGGGGGCCTCGCGGGAGTCGGGAGCGCTGGGGAGGCCGGCAGGACGCAGCGGGACATTTCCTTCGGGGGCCCAGACAGCGGGTGGGTGGGGCGCAGGGGCGGGTCCTCGCAGCTGGCGGCTTTTGAAGCCTCCTGACCGCGGTGGGAGAGCCGCAGTCTAGAAAAGTTGGCAGCGGGCCTGGGGCGGGGAGGGGAGGGGCCCCGGGGTCGGTGAAAC